TTGGATTATCAGAGGTTAGGGAACATTGCCAATTGAGAAAATGAAAAAAAAAACTGCATTATTAAGTTACCAACTTTTCTCTTCTCTTTCACTGCATTGTGCCCTCAGGATAGAATTTCTGTCTACTTTGAGTTTGATGCAGTATAGTGAAACAACTCATAGCCAGTGTTGAAGAATAAAAGACCAAATTGACCCAGAAAATAATTAGTGACATAAGTGGATCAATTAGAGTTTACTGAATGACCAAGCAAACAAACCAGCCAGTTAGCCCATTTTTTACATTGTTCACCTTCCCACCCAACACTGGGAAGCATTGGTTTGCTTTCAGAATCTGAAAATAATTTAATTCCTCCATTTCTTCCTTCCCTCTAATGGCCCTAGACTCTACAGTATTGCGCCGACATAAGACAAATTCTTGATCTTGGGAGCTTGTTTCTTTTTCTGCCTAATTTCCTTTTTCATATACTTATGTTAATAATTTCTATTAACAAAGTTATTTGTTTATTTATGAAGTTATTTTACACCTGCCCTAATTCTATGACAGGGATATTTAAGCAGTGCACTTACATGGGATTTTGGCCAACTAAAATTCATAATAAGCCATTAGTGAGTTGATTAAACATTACTGCATAAATTATTAGCAACATTAATAGAAAAAATAGGTAAGACAATAGTCACTTCAATCCTGGCCGACCAGGGAAAGAATTTCTTAGAAATCAGTGCCTGGCTGGCTTAGTTGGTGGAGCATGCGACTCTTGATCTTGGGGTTGTGAGTTCAAGCCCCATGTTGGGCATAGACCTTACTTAAAATAAAGGGGAGTCTGGGTGGCTCAATGGGTTGAGCGTCCAAATCTTGATCTCAGTTCAGGTCTTGATCTCATGGTTGTGAGTTCGAGCCCCACATTGGGCTCCACACCCAGTGTGGAGCCTATTTAAAATAATAAAAAGAAAAAACAAAACAAAAGTAAAATTATTTCTCAATTAAAAAAAAAAGTGCCTTTCAGTACATTGTACAAGAACAATTTTTACCAGCTGTTAAATTAGTCCTAACTAAATTTCACTTTATTCCTCTGGGCAGATATTCCAACATTGCATGATCTGTGATGAATCATGACACGCAATATATTCCTCTTAAGGGCGCCTGGGTGGCTCAGTTGTTAAGTGTCTGCCTTCGGCTCAGGTCATGATCCCAGGGTCCTGGGATCGAGCCCCACATCAGGCTCCCTGCTCTGCAGGAAGCCTGCTTCTCTCTCTCCCACTCCCCCTGCTTGTATTCCCTCTTTCACTATGTCTCTCTCTGTCAAATAAATAAATAAAATCTTTATATATATATATATTCTTTCTACATTTCTTCATCGTGGTTATGAGAAGTTTTTAAGATTTTCCTCAGATATTTTACCGAATTTAGGATAACTATACCTGTGGCATTTTCCTGATCCTCTAATAGAAGAGCCTTAAAAAAAGCAAATTAGATTAGTGTGGAGTTTGGCCTTCATAATTTCACTTTTCACAGATAGAAGCTATGTGAAGAGATATTTTTATCCAGAGGTTTATTAGGAACAGTGAGAGACGTACCTTGCTCCTGTGCAATTTCACTTGTACTTGTTCTATTCCGCTTGCTTGCTTTGAAAACAGCTTTACTGATGTATACTTTACATATCATAAAATTCACCCATTTAAAGTATACAAATTCAGTAGTGGTTAGTTTATTTACAGTTGTGTAACCATTACCATAATTCAATTTTAGAACATTTTTACCATCCCAAAAAGAAAACTTGTGTCCATTCTCACTTTCTTCTGTTAAAAAAAATCTAGAAGTGATTTTACTTTTGTATTCTAACAAAGTCTTTCCCCAAGAAACTGCCTTTCCATTATGGATTTCCTGTTCTCTTTCTTCATATTCTGTGTTTATAAACCTAGAAATTCATTCCTTCCTTATCAAACTAGTTTAAAAAATAACACAAGAAAAATAGATACGATGTCTTAACATGAGGTGGTTAGTACCAACTTAGGACTATTTTTCAATTTCATGGATTTTAAAATACCTATGGTCTTATTCAGGAGCTCTTTCATTGGGTAGTGGATATTGTAAATGTAATTTGGATTGAATTTAGGAGTAAATGACAATAGTATTAACAGCATAATTTATATTCCTTTAATCTGTTTATGTCTTATGGGAAGCAGATTTAAGAGTAAGGCCAATATATGTGGTTGGATTATACAATTATAGCTCGGGGAGAGTTTCTTCAAGATCATGGGGCAAAAGAGGGGGCACCTGGGGGGCTCAGTTGGTTGAGCGACTGCCTTCGGCTCAGGTCATGATCCCAGGGTCCTGGGATCGAGCCCCGCGTCGGGCTCCCTGCCCTGTGGGAAGCCTGCTTCTCCCTCTCCCACTCCCCCTTCTTGTGTTCCCTCTCTCGCTGTGTCTCTCTCTGTAAAATAAATAAATAAATCTTAAAAAAAAAAAGATAATGGGATAAAAGAAAAATTTTAAATGAAGATTTAAGTCTTACAGAGATTGTTTGAAGTAGCAGAGCCAACCCAGTTATGTCTAAAATCAGAACCTATGGTGGTAATGACTGTATTAACTGCTTCTTCCCTTGGGTAGATATGATAAAACTCTGACTTCTTTAATTTCCAAACACTTCAGTCAGTTAATCAGAAAATACCTTTGATGAAGGAATGAGTCCATGCTTCCTACACCTTCTTCTTCACCTTGCATGTTACTTTGTTTGTTTTGGGGGGTAGGCTGTGTGGAGGACTAAGATATAATAAGTTCTATATTTAGTTGCTTTCTTTTTTTTTTTACTTTCCACTGTATTTTTATTAACATTGCTTTTATACCTCTAATATAGATTCAGTTTTATACACTTCTTTGGGAAAGGTAGAGTGTTTCAGCCCAGACAGGTTTGATTTGTTTTGATTTATTTATTTTAATAATTAAAGAAGTGGAGGGGCGCCTGGGTGGCTCAGATGGTTGGGCGTCTGCCTTCGGCTCAGGTCATGATCCCGGAGTCCTGGGATCGGGTCCCGCATCGGGCTCCCTGCTCCTTGGGAGTCTGCTTCTCCCTCTGCCTCTGTCTCTCTCTCTCAAAAAAAAAAAAAAAAAAATCTTAAAAAAAAAAAAAAAAAAAAAGAAGTGGAGAAATAGTTCCAATTAGTGAAGTGCTGTTAGTGATGGACTATTACTAGGACTTTTTTTTTTCCTTGATGGATATCTTTTGGTAGATCCTTTCTCTTTTCATCTACACTATTTTTATTTTCATATTTCCTTTTGGTTTGGACAAAAAAAAAGACTTGAGTATGCTTCTCTTATGTTTAAAGAAGTCTTGTTTTCAGCATGTATTGAGAAACATTGTTTTAAAATCAATATTTGATGATACTGGCATTTCTGTTTTAATTAGGTTCTCTAAGTATTAGTAATAGAGTTTTTCAAAAGACAATTTTCAGTTGATTCTGTGCTGTGAGTGAGGATCATTTAATAGTAAAATTTCTAGTTTTAGCTTTCCTTCAGGACATTCTTCCTTATCCCTATCCATGTCAAAGTTGGTATACATAATTCAAAGATTAATTGGAAGGATCAAAGTATTTATGTATTCAGTGATCAGTTACTAAAAGTATTGTTTGTTATCAAGGATAAAATGTCTTAGAGTGCTGCCTTTGTTTTTTAATCCCTCATGCAAATGATTAATACTCTTTTTTATTTGTTGGAATGTTGGCTTTCTTGGAATACTGGGCAAGTCCCTTAAACCCTGTGTCTCAGTTCTTTTTGAAAATGGGCATATGATTCTAAGTGCTTGTTTAAAGTTCCTTCTAACATTGATTCTATTACCTTTACCAGATATTCTGAGAATTATTTATGCCCAAAACCATAGAATAATAAATACAAAAAATTTTTTTAAATAGTAGATATAAACGTAATTTTATGGACAGTGATTATAAAGTACATTAAAAAGATATATGAACATATGGGGCGCCTGGGTGGCTCAGTTGGTTGGGCGACTGCCTTCAGCTCAGGTCATGATCCCAGGGTCCTGGGATCGAGCCCCGCATCGGGCTCCCTGCTCTGCGGAAAGCCTGCTTCTCCCTCTCCCACTCCCCCTGCTTGTGTACCCTCTCGTGCGCTCTCTCTCTCTCTGTCAATTAAATAAATAAAGTCTTTAAAAAAAAAAGATATATGAACATAATTAAAAAAAGATAGAGATGCGTGGGTGGCTTAGTCGGTTAAGCGTCTGCCTTCAGCTCAAGTCACGAGCCCAGGGTCCTGGGATCGAGCCCCACATCAGGCTCCCTGCTCAGCAGGAAGCCTGCTTCTCCCTCTCCCACTCGCCCTGTTTGTGTTCCCTCTCTTGCTGTCTCTCTCTCTCTCTGTCAAATAAATAAAATCATTTTTAAAAAAAAAGAGTATCCAAACTTGTGCCTTTCTAGAGTTTGGAGATAGCTCAGAATAAAGAGTACAATATTTCCTTGAGCTATGACATTCCTTGTTTAGCTTTTTTTGGGAGGGAAAAAATGCGTTATGATAGAGAATTAAAATATTTGCTATACGGTGCTGGGTAGAAGAGCAAGGGTAGACTAATGGTCTCATTGGAGAAGCCATTTTAAAGCTGGTAAGAGTATGGTAAGTTACACTCTTATTATTATAGAGGAAGATATTGGACCATTTTGGCTTATTTGATGTTTCTTATATTTTGTCTGAGTTTATCCAGTTCTAAAATTTAATAACTTTAGAGAGCATCTTAAATATAAAGAAAAAAGCCAAGAAGAAAACAGGGGACAGAACTAATGGAAATTCATTCTTCAGTAAAATTGCATAATAAAAGAAGAATATTTGCTAATAATTCTTTACAACAGTAATTACGTGGAAGTTTTTTGGTGTATGTGAATAATATAGTTCTCCTCCTGAGTAAAAAGACATATTAATTTCATATATTAATACATGTTCATGTATTAGGCTATTGACTTTCACTCTTAAAATTTTTTTCTCCTTCCTTCTACAGAATCTGTCTATGATCTTCTCCCAAAGGAGTTACAGTTACCTCCATCTAGAGAAACGTCTGTAGCATCAATGAGTCAGACAAGTGGTGGTGAGGCAGGCTCGCCTCCTCCAGCTGTAGTTGCTGCTGGTATGCATTTCATTTTATTTTATTAAAGAAAACTAGTGTATTATCTGGCCAACATGAACAGTGCTGGCAAAGTTCATATCAAAAAAGAGTGTGATTTGAGGGTTTGTTTTAAGAGGTTTAAAAATAAATACTTTTAACCTTAAAATATTTCAGTATACATTTCTTGATATAATTCTTATTTCTTAAAATTTCACATTGGCACATCTGTTAGTGCCATTTCTTTTCTAGGAGCTTATCTTCAGATGTGAAAACAAGCTTGAAGCTCTTTTGTTGACTGCACATAAAAAAGTTACATACCAGGCTATGGATAGAAAATTACATTCGAGTCTCTATTTAACAATTCTTTTTTAAAATTTACTGAAAGAGAAAAATATTTTGTATAATCTGAAAAAGAACTCAAGCACTCAAGTCTCTTTTCTGTTTGTAGCATGTTTATTATAACCTTTTCCCTACATTTAAAAACATGTGACTTTAGACTTCTTTTAAATTTAAAGTAATGGAAGATTTGAATGTAATATTTATGTGAAAGCATTTTGTAATATCAATGAAAAAGTATGGAAAGTAATGTTTGAAATTTATCAAATTTATTTTTATTCTGCTCTCAAATCATACACTTTATATAAAATTGGTTCCATTTTTTAATGAACCAGAATAAAAGATTGATGGATAAGCTAATAGAAAAAAGTCTTAGTTATTGATAAATTAGTGAGTGCTTTCAATAATATTAGATTGCCCAACTGTATTTCTTTTTTTAGTTGGGTTTTATACACTGCTAAGTGTGTTTGGTTTAAAAAAAGGTGAAAAGTTATGTATATATGTATGTACACACACACACACACACACACACACACACACACACACACACGCTCTGATGTTTTATCCTTCTAAATAGAGGTTTCTTATCCAATGATACCTCTCATCTTTTAAATGGTACTTAAATCCATCACAGCATTGTTTTCAGTAAATTCATTTCATTTCAAAAAGAACAGTGAAGTGGAAGGTTGTGGTTTAAATAAGGATTTGGTACTGTAAAGGAACTTCATATATTTTTCTTGTATGCATTAACCAATGTACCGTTAATCTTGTGTACGAATCTTTTCCCTGAGCTGTATACTGCAGTGTGCAGCCTTCCTGATTGAGGGCAGGAAAACTTTAAACAGAACAAAGAAACTTATCAGCCCTGCTCACTGTTCATGTGTTGCCAGACATTTTCTAACAGATTCTGTGGATTTAACTGTGATCTTTTTAGTAATCAAATTGGTAAGATGACCTGGTTTTACTTTATATCCAATGGGTTCTAAAATGTCCCTGAATATTTTTTCTGGAATTTAAAATTTTTAATATTGCTTAAAAATTGTATCAGATGATAAAATATGAAAAAAAATATTTTTAATGAAATATTTCACTTTAAATCCACAAGTAGAAATTGACTAACTGATTTCTTTTGTATCTTTTGAGATTATTTTTTATAGACTTGTTGACTCTATATAGAACTAAAAGTCTGTTTCTTCTGTGCTTTTTAACATCTGTTGACAGTAGATCCAGTTCCTTTTAAAAGCTGAAAAAATGTCAGCTAGGTTTGGAAAAGAACACTTCCTCTTAAGTAATACCAAACTCAATTTCAAGTTTTTTTATATATAGATATTGAAGGTTCTTGAATTTGAGTCACTAATAGAATGTTGATCCTCCCTCCTTCCCTCTCCTTATTTGAGAAAATCCTCTCCAGATAAATTAGATTGAAAGACATGAGTTGAAAATCATGAAAATAAGAGAATTAACCAAAGGAAGTATTCTGAAGTAATAAATTCTTATTAGATCAAGAAGTTATTGACATTCCAAAGAAGGTGAAGAGAGTAAGGAGGTAACATTAACAGCTTTCTTATTCACATATAGAAAGTTTCTATGATCTAAAACCAAGTCATTGTAATTTTTTTTACATAAATTTACTTTTAGTAACCAATATAATCTTATTCTAGGATTCTGTCTTATTAGTAGAATAGACTTTGTCTTGTAACATTATAGGTAAGAGAGTTTAAATTACAGAATAATTACTGTAGGGAAATCATTTAGTAGGTATCAATATGGAGTTGCTTTTTTATTTGACATATGAGTATCTTTAGTGACATAACTGTCGAAGAGAAGGATTTGAAGTAAATTAACAGTTATTCAGTGTTTCCTGGCCAAAAAACTTGATGTCTAGGGAAAGGCACATTAATTTAGACTTCTGTGAATTTTATTTTTAATCTATACATTTGCTGTTTAAATATGAAATGTATAAAAATGATGACTCTTGATGTAGTTAATTCTTCAGAGTTTTGAAGGAGCCGGATTGGCTGCTATCAGGTATGAGGGCCTGGTGGGAACAGACTTCTAGTTCTGCTATAAAGGTTTGTGTTTCACAAGTTCTAAATCAATTTAAATTTTAAAATTTAGAGGCTGGGCATATAGGTGTTCATGTACATTCTTTATTACTTAATTATTTAAAATGTGTTTCTCAGATTCGCCAATCTAGATTTTTTTCCCTTTACATATTACTGAGGGAATGCGTAAACGTGATGCTGCTAATCCACAATCCAGAATATTGGATAAAAGAATATCTCTCAAGCCTTTTTCTGCCTCTGTACTATTCACACTTTTATATAACATCTTTTTATCGGGTAAGTTCCAGGTTTGGGGCTGGGAGAAAGAGGGCTTACTTCTCTACAACTCCTCCCCTCTCCGTGGGCCAAGTGTCAAAAGCTGGGAGATATAGTTCAGAATCACCAGTCTGAAATTTGTACTCCTTCTCATTTTTTGCAGACCTTTGCTTTTGTCCGACTGGAAAGGTAGTTAAGAGTTTGAGGTTCAATATGTGAATGAATAAGTTTCAGAAATACAGACTTTCTGAACAGTATTGTAGGTTCTCAGTAATTAAGACAGGGGCCATTTTCCTAACACAAGAAAGTTATCCAAATGAATTGATGGCATTTTTGGCAAAATAAGGAGTTGCTCAGGAAATGCATACTGTGAAAGAATTCTTTTTGTTTGGTTTTTTTAGGGGGGGAATCCTATAGTATAGGTTATAAAGAGCTAAAATGCAAGTATTATTTAGAAGAACTAACACAGTTACACCAGAGTTTGGGGAGTTTTTGCGAAGAGATATGGCAGACATTTTTCTTAAATAACAGCTTTATTGATAAATAACTCATATACCAATCAAGTATTTTTTAAAATCTACTTATATGTTTATAGTTTTTAATCCTAGATTTGCTTCATTTAATTAAAATAGGAAGTCTTTCACAGAAGTGAACAATAAATTTTAATCTTCATTTTAAGAAATCAGTTCATTTTCTTATTCTATCCTAGACTCTGTCTTCATTTGGGGATATGGCATTATGTTTATTAGTTTGTTTCAAAATATGACTTTGCTAAGGTAACTGTTTCAAGTTTCTTTAAAATTTTTATTCTAATTCTTGAGATAAACAGTGAACTAAACAAACGATAAGTTTTATAATTCAGCCAGAGAATCTTAAGAATAACTAGTTAGTGATTCTTTTGTTAGTTGTTTTCATAAAATTGCTGTTTTACTTTCAGTAATTATATATTAATACTATTTTAAGAAGTAATACAGTCTCAGGATACTGACACTTTGTAGCACTTTTTAACATGTATAGGTGTACACACAGATTTAGCATGTATAATAGAAATACCTGTTGAGTATCTCCACTAGTTAGATCACTGGAGGTTTTTAAAGGCTGTAATTTTAGTTAATAACTTTACATGAAGTGATCCATATAATAAACTTTTCTGTTGGAAGAGAGAGACTTACTCAATAGTGCTTTGAATTTTATGCCACAGCAGTTAATAAATCGCAAGTACCTAACAGGTATTTTCTATACTGAAAGAACTTAATTGAGTGCTATTTATATTGGAGAAGAGGACGCTAGAGAGCTAAATTAATGTCCTGTTATCAGAGAACAGCTATGCTTTAATGTGTTGTAGACATCTTAATCATCTAATAAAATTATAGGAATTTCTAAACCATCCATAACAACAGAACAGTACAAAAAATGAGTTGAAGAAAATGTAAGTTACCATTTTTGAGTTCCGGCTGTGTAATAGAAATTGTGCCAGACAATTTGCATATCATCATATCTCAATTCTTTCAGGCACAAGATACCGCTCTTCTTTCCTGCTGGGGTCCAAGTTCTTTTCTTCTTGTTATTGTCCTCAGGGAATTGTGTGCTATTATTTCACTTAGAAAACAGTAGTTCCTGGACTAAGCAGTGTGTAGGATATTGACTTGGAAAAGCCATATACCCTTTTAATTTTGCAAGTTTCAGGGTCTATGAAATTGGAATAGATTTCTAGGAGAATATTAAGTTTTAATAACAGTGATTCACAGCAACAGAATTACATAGTCCATTGAATTTATTATAATTTATTTACTAGTGTTAGAAAGTATTTACAGATATGTAATTTGTATTTTCTTGAGTTGAATAAATTTTGAGGAGCAAATTTGCCTTTGATTGCTGTCCTAAGTTAATGAGGTAAACATATTTCAGAATTTTGGCCATTTATGTAGTATAGTATTCCTAAAATTTAAACCCAAAGCTCATTAGCAGGAAGGGTGATTCACCTCTGTAACCTATGTATTGATGTTGTGAGTTGATCTTTTTTATTCCATATGGCCATTTCTACTTTTTCTAGAAAACTGGACCACTTCCAGAAGGAAGTCAGATTCTAGTTACAAAAATGTTGCAAATAGGTTTAAAAACTCTACTCCTCATTCTGTCTTTTTACTGAAATTGTATTGTAAATCTAAATGTATATACATTAAACATATAGAAATATGTATGTATGTATATATAGATTTATGTTAACATCTGCATTATTAAAATAAAAAGCATAAGCAAATTTGGGACATAATGATTAATTCAGAAACAAGTAAGAGCTTAGGGAGCCTGGGTGGCTCAGTCTTTGGCTCAGGTCATGATCCCAGGGTCCTGGGATCGAGCCCC